GAGGGTGACTCACTAGGGACTCCCCGGGGAGTACACATTTTTAGGGACTCCCCAGGGACTTGGAGGGGGACTCCCTGGGGAGTCCCCGGGGATTATGCATTTTTCGGGGAGTCCCCGGGGACTTTCAGGAGGAGAGTCGACTAGGGTCAGTTTGACTTGATTCTTCGAATGCCACTTGAGAAAAGCACGCGCTTAGCAGTCTAAATGTTTATTCATAAAATAAAAAGTAAACACTAAAAATTTAAAGTTGAACTAGAAACTATCTTCATACGATTAAACTATCAGGTAGATTTTATTTAATTAAAATTATCACAATAACTAATTCTATATCTATTATTGCTTCTTGGAAAACAAATTTTCTTTTTAAAAGAAAATTTCTTAGCTATAATCTAATAGATTAGTTATAGCTATGAAATGAACCACCAAGCAGCTGCATATGAGGAATCGGGTGATCACCGTACATGTGTGACATCTATCCAATTAACATGAATATGTATTAGATCATGTAAAAAAGAACATTCTGAAGGCTTTTTGATTACCCAACTCAAACTTTAATCGTAAAAGTAAAGCGTTAAATCGTGGTTTACTCAATCAATCAAGAAATGGAAGACCTCGATGGCTTAGGACGCCATTTTTTTTTTTTGAAAATGAATTATATCGTCAAGTTGTTTTTCAGTTGTGAATGAACAGAATAATTAAATGGAATAGAAATGGACTGCTTTTTGTAGACTTGTCAACATTTTTTATGATGAATTGCTTCTTTTGATGAGTCAGTGTGAACATAATTCATATTTCAATACTATGAGTAATATCTGTTGCTATTTTTGCGCGTGTAGTTTTCCTAATATATTCCAGTTATACAGCTGAATTTGTTTCGAGCAGTAGCAAAGCTGTCTAGCGAAATTCGTCGTAGAATTTTATTCATCTTCAGAATCTAAGAGCTTTCTGTAATTGTATTTGTTTTTAGTTTTAGTATTTTGTCTTGCGTATGAAATTCTCTGTATATTTCATTAGTATAAATGAAGCGGCGACCAAATTTCGACAATTTAAAAGTGCGCAAATCTTTGCGTCGAACACGGCTAACTGAAGGCATATATGGAAGGTCTGTATTTTAGTTTATTTCTTTCAAATTAAACTCCTACTAGAATTTTTCTTTATTTTTGTTTAGTGCTCTAATGTATCTGAAATTCATTTGCATATGGGGAATTATTATGGCAGCTGATTTTATGCTTGAATTTCGGTTTGAATTCTTGTGGCCATTTTGGCTTGTTTTGAGAAGTATTTATGATTCATTTAAATACCAGGGGGTAAGATATATTATTTTCGTACTTTTCAGAGCCTAAATGACTAAATCATTCTGTGTTTCTATTTAATTCTAGTTGCTGTTCTCAGTATTTTTTGTATTAATTGCATTCGTTGCTGATCTCATATGTTATATTTTATTACCAATTCAATGGTTATTTTTTGCTGCAAGCAGTTATGTGTGGATTCAATACGTTTGGCAAACCGGTAATAAATATTAACAAGAAAGCGTTTGTTTATGAATAAGAGCGTTTGTTTGAGAAAGGATGACAATACATGCACGGTATATTTGAGAAAACCAAGTTGTTCAGAAAATTGCGATATACAGAATGTTGCAATACTCAACATTAAATAATCAATCACAATGTACAGAACTCTTTTTGTATAGGTATTAAGTACAGCGAACATGTTTCAGATATATAAATATCACGGATTTCATCTTATTTTTAGAGCTTTGCAGTCTTTGATCTTTCTTCAAATTTCTTTTGTTGTTTGTTATTTTCGGCTCGTTTTCACGCCAGAACTTGTCGTTGCTCAGTCCTTTATAATAGCGATAGGCAATCATTAAGGTTGACGCTTTATCTTTTATGTTTATTTATGAACTTTTGTTTTTTAGAACGTGGCATATGTCTCGGTACTGTAGTACTTTGGGTCCTTTTTGTGTGGCTTGAAGCATCTGTAAGATTGAGAGAAATCAAAACAATCGACTTGTGTAGACCGTTTGCAGCACATTGGTACGTAATTATTAAAAGTGATTGTTCAAACTCTGAATATTTGATCATTCTTTTAGTATTGGATACCCCATGGTCACACTAGGATTTGGTTTTAAAACTTATCTTGCATACAAATGGCGTTTGGTATGCTCAATTTAGTTTTTACTAACAAATATATGACAGCATAACCAATTCTGTTCTATTCTAGAGAAAACAACGTGACGTTCGTAAAACAAATGAATCTTATGTACAGTTATTATATCAAGCGTTACCGATTGAAGTACAGCATTCTCAACAAGATATAGAAAAAGAAAAACTCAGAGGTTAGTGATGATATTGATAATTTATTATGGACAATTAAATATTTTCTGTCTGTTCTATTTAGGCCCATTCCCCGATCGTTATGATGAATGTACATCGAATCATTCAAATACGAATGCTATTCAATTATCAGAAACAGAACATGTTGCTCCAACTCGAGACAGAGGCGGCAGTAGCAACAATACTAGTAGTAATAATAACAATGATATCCATTCAACATTATTTTCTTCAACTACCACACTATCCTCATCCTCTTCATCAACAACGACATTTTCTTCGACTGCAACTCACAACAATAATAATAATCTTAATTCAAATTCATTTTTATCTTCTTTACTACAACCAAATTCGACTCACATTTCTCCTTCTTGTACAATATCAAAACGTTCTAAAACAACGGCGGCAGGAACGCCAGCAGCAAATGATTCCACTTACAATAATCTCATTTCGACGAATAATTCTTCCGCACAGTCACAACGTTCTTCAAAATCTTCTTATCCATATAGTCATACAAATGGACATGGTGATGAAGAAATTATCGACTCGTATAAACAACAAAAATCATCTCATTTGAACAGTGTACCCTCGTTATCTAGTCTTACAAATGGTCCAATAACAACAAATAAAAAGAAAGAAAGATTCAATGGTCAAAACACAACATCAGTTGTAACGACAAATGCCACTGTAAATAATCGACGACACCAAAAAAATCAATCGTCACGCGATTCATCCACTCATATCAATGGTTTTTCAGCAGAAGATTCGTCAGACATGGACAAAAAGTAGCTTACCCTTAAAGCAAAGTGAAACATGAATTTCTTATTTTCTTCATATTTGTTGTAGCATTCAAATAACCAAACTGGAATCAGATATGCAAAGATTAAATCAAACTTTGGAAAAACAAAGAACATCGGAATTACAATTACGTATTCAACTGAATGATCTGAAAACAAGTAAAAAAGAATTTGACGATCTGAAAACGGAACACTCAACATTACAAACCAAGTAAGTGATGGTGATTTTACTCCCTAAATAGATCGTTTAATAATCATTCTATTTTTAGATATGACTCTATTGCAACACAACGTCAACGTGACAAACAACGTATCGCTGACTTAGAACGTAGTTTTGCTGATGAACGTCAAAGTAGACAACGTTTCGAATTACAAATCAAAAATGAAAAAAGTATAGTAAAAAAATTACAAGACGATATGGCCAAATTAGCACTTGTACCACCAAGGTAATGTAACGAAAAATAATACTAAAATTTAAGAGTTTGAGTTATAACTGATGCTTTTCTCTTTTAGAAATGAATGTCCCGATCATTGTTTAAAACGAAAACGTGATCAAGAGAATGAAACAAGGGAATTACGTAAATTAATCCAAGATAAAGACGATAGAATTAAAATACTCGACAATGAAATCAAAGTAAATAGGATAGAGAAGATTTGAATATATATGTCCTTAACATGATATTTGTCGTTATTTTCAGACATTAATAAAATATCGTGAATCTCATGCCGATAACGAAGTATTATATCAACATTTTACTCAATTACAAGAAAGAAACGCTCATTTACAAGATAGTTTGAGTGCTGAAACAAGAATCAAATTAGATTTATTTTCGGCACTTGGAGAAGTTAAACGACAATTAGAAATTGCACAAAGTACGTACAAGCGAGATATTACCAATTCTATTTATTCTTTGATTACTGATTTCAAGAGCTTTGAAAAGCTCTCGGAGCCGCTTTTTCCCCCTTGCAAAAATGACTGATTTACCCTCACCTTCACTAGTATCTAATTGTAAGCAATATTCTCCCTGCATACTTCTCATCCATCGCTAATGTGATGATAATGTGGTTATTTGTACGAAAACGGTTAAACTTTTATTGCATTTTTTTTTTGTGTTTGTGTTTAGATAATGTACGGGACAAAGATCGTGAGATACAACAGTTACACTCACATTTATCTGGTACAATGGTCAATGGTCACAATCATGGCATTCGACAAAATTCTGGATGTTCATCTCCAACAAATCATTTAGATGGTAATAACAATCAAACGATTATACCAACATCGACATCTGCCTATTATGCGGTATCAAAATCACCACCTCCAACATTACAAGCGCCAAAAAATTCAAATCTCGATCCAAACGCTCAAGATTATTGTCCAACAGCTTAATTACAAAAATAAAGGACGAACATTTTTATTTAAAAATTTTTGTTTGTTTGATTTTTTTCATTTGTAACAACAATAATAACAACAGATTTGAATCGATGTAAATCTTTTCCTTTTTATATTAACCTTTGTCTTACCCTACCCCTATCTTCTAGCCTTCTCCATTTTCAACAGCATCTGTATCGTGATTATTATTTGTTATGTCTCATTCTTTCGCTGTTTTTTCATCTTTATTTTGTATGTCTATTTCATGTGTATAAGAAAATTGAGATGAAACAGAGAGAGAAAAAAACGAAGTACCACAATACACTTTTCTTTTTGTTGTTTGTCCGTCTTGTATTTTGCTTTGTTTTTCTTTGTTTGAAAAAAGAAAAAATAAAACTAAATGGAAATGAAAAATTACTTGTTGTTGTTTTTTATTGTCGAAAAACAAAATCTACTCCAGTTTTGAATATCAATATTATCAGCAGCAGTAGCAGTCAAAAATTAAACTTAAGGAAAAAATGTACTCTTCGTTTAAGTATGAACGGCAGTATCGTCGTCACAGCAGCTATATTCTAATCTAAAAAACTGTTAATCTCATCTCTGTAGTGATTTTAGATCAAAAGTTTTCACACTATTCGAATGCCAACTATGTCTATTGACTTTTGAACAAAAACGAAGAAATGGTCAGTCGTAAAGTTCGTTTATTGATACCACGTGATCGTGGAGAATTAGTACCAATATTTTTTATTCTATTTTTAATTTGTATTTATACTATATTTGAATTGTTTGTTATTTTACCATCAATTTACCATAATATATTTACGTACAAAGAAATTCTACATTTAATATTTGGTTTGTATATTATTTATAATTTATTGGGTAATATGATACTGTGTATGATAACTGATACATCCACTGATACAATTATTTGTCCTGTTCTATTACCACCACCTAATGTTAAACATGTCGTCGGAGATAGTAACAGCAGTGTAATTAATCATTATAATTGGCATTATTGTCATCCATGTGAAGTTAATGTACCCCCAAGAGCACAACATTGTCATTTATGTAAGAAATGTATATTAAAACGAGAACATCATTGTTCATTTCTAGGACGATGTATTGGTTATAGAAATATTAGATATTATATTTGTTTTATATTTTGGGCTTGGGTTAGTATATAGTTTCACGCTTTGTTTTTTAATAAATCTCCTAATTATTAATAGTGTCTATATTGGATAGAGATGAAATTTTATATTTATAAAATGTTCTGTTACTTAAATCACTGTTGTCCTAATCTTCACGAGTAACAGATGCTATGTTATATTTTTAACATTAGGTACGGCAGATAACACACACGATTAGTATCTTTTCATCATATTCACTCTTCTCTTAATAAAAGGATAATATATTCTGAACCAGTCGCATGTAGAAGTTTCACTTTTGGACCTTATACTCTGCACGGACAATCTTTTTTCATAAATTTCACTCGTACTGCAATCTAAACGGTTTCTTATTCTGATATTCTTATCATGCAATAATTAATTACTAGACACCACTTATTTTTGTCCACTAGTTTGGCCTTATTTATTGTAATGCATTACATTTTGACTATACATACGAATTGGTCGGAAAATTCTCCTATAAAGTTATTATCGGTAAGTTTCACTGTGAGAAAGAGTAAGCGGATTTATAAAAGAGTATTTTTGCCATTTTAGCGTGTGTATTTCCATTTGGAGCATGGCTATTTGGTTTATTAGATCATTTCTCGTTACTTTTATCGTTTATATGTTCAACATCAGTTGTAATGAATCTTTATCTAATGTTTTTATTATTTAAACAGTTTTTTTTAATTTATAATGGTCAAACATCGTACGAATCTGTTAAAAACATTAAAATTTATAGTATGAATACAAAATCGAATATTGAACATGTATTTGGAAAAAACTGGCATTTAATTTTATTTTCGCCATTAATATCATCGACTCCACTTGGTGATGGAATGACATTCGATATTTATAATGGTGATGTAAAAGCGATCTAGACAGATAAATGAGATTTTTCTAAATGAAGATTAAAATGACACAATATGAGAATGTTCTACAAAGGATTAAAAAAATATTTTCTTGACAACTTTTTAATATAATCCTATATTATTTTTTCCTGTTAATGTTTTACATCTTTTGTGTCACGTCGCAGTTAGATGTTTGTGATTATTGTTTGTGTAAACGACGATATGTCTAGTGTAAGAATTTCATCATTATTTCTTTTTGTTATATTTTTAGTATTCTGTCTATTTGTTCAACTTATTGTTTTTTTTTAATATTGTTGTTGTTGTTGTTGCATGGACTCAAGCCTGTGATACGAAATTCAACATAAACTATATTCATTTGTATTATTATTTATGTGATGCATTTGTTTACGCATTTTGCCATTGTATTTTTCAAAATAAGCAATGATCAAACAAAAAATATTCTACACCTTTTTTTTTTGAATGTTATTATTGTAACTGTAATACAATATCAAACATTGGAGTACAATTTTCTAAAGTTTGGCCTCAAAATATAGGCATTAGTAGTGTCATATATTGTTGCATATATAGATTAGAAATAACTAAAATTTTATATCACTGAAGACATTCTTTCTGTTAGATTGTTTTTTCTAATAGTTTCTATTTTTACAGACAAAAAAAAAGAATGAGCTAACGATGAATCCAAATTCAAGTCGAGTAGAGGGCACTGATGGTAGCGATTTTATATATCGTGAACGTGTTGCTGGTCATTATCAAATTAGTACAAAAATTAAATCTCGTCTAAGATTATTAATTTATCTACATTTTCTTCTTGCTCTCATTATTATTGTTCAAATATTATTATATCATATTCGTTCATTTTTTCCATCGTCTGTCACTAAACCACACATTTGGGAGTATTTATGGCTCATTAGTATATTTGCTTCTATATGCGGTTTATGCTCATTATCACGAAATAATTTATTGCTATTAAAATTATTTTTTCGTGGTGTTATAATTTTTGGTTTGGGAACAATTTTATCAACAATAATTATTAATCTAACTGATTTATTTGCATATTCAAAGTTAAAAACCAAACAACAACATGAACAACAACAACAAATGTTTTTTGGTTTACCAGTACTTGTACTATGGTACATATTTTTAGCTATTACCGTACAAGTACATTCGTATAGCTTATATTTGGCTAATACATTAATAAAAAGTTGGCAACCAAGACAAAGACAACAATGAACAAATCTAGTCAAATTTTCGTTTATAGAATTTACTTTAGATTCTATTCCTTTTAATACTTTTTTTTTTCTTGTTTTTTATAACTTTCGATATATAAAGAAAATTAAATAAAGTGCATTTTGTTTTTCTTTTCTTTTTTTTATAGAGGAAAATGTGTGAAACAAACTTAAAATTGCAAAACATACCTATTTTCAAAAATTTTTATTAATGTCGCTCATACATCAAATGGTCTCCAGGCTGTGTCAAGGACTTTTATACCCCTTGAGTTGAATTCGACATCTATTATTGAATAAGATCAACGTTAAAAAAACGTTTTTTTCGCATTTTGATAGAAAGAAAAAATAATATTATATTCATTATTAAAAAAAATAATATCAAGCATCAAATTGCACGCGTTCAAGATAAACATTTTTATAAGGTATCAAAAACCAGAGAAACTATTGATAGTGTGATGCTTTAGAACAAAAAAAATTAACAAAAAATGTTTCAAAAAAAACCAACAATACACCATCCCCTAAGCCTATCATATTTCAAAAACCTACTTTTAATGATTTCATAGTGTTTTATTTATGTTAAAAACTAGACTATCATATGATATGTCTCTTTTTTTTCTTTCCTATGGTGATAAATACTAGGAAGAAATAAAATGATCTCAGTGCATACCTGAAGTTTAAGGGTATATATTACTTGTATTTAGCCTAGTTCATACTTTAGATTTCACGTCAATTAAAGAAAAATGGCACCGCGGAACAATTTGTTCGATACGCCATTACCTGATTATGTTGAACGTGATATTGTTCCATCCTTAATAGATCATCATGAATCAGATGAAGAAGACGAGAATGCTATTCAAAATCATTCAGCATTAAAACAATGGGTATCAACGGAAAAAACAATAATTGTCTGGAGAAATGTTTTTATATTCATATTATTACATCTTGGAGCTCTCTATGGATTTTATTTATGTTTTTCGGCAAAAATAATGACAATTATTTGCGGTAAGAAAATAATACAAATAAAAATTTTCAAACAAATAAAGCTGTTAACACTTTTTTAAGAGTGTCTTAAAGTTAAAACTTTAATCAATATGATGAAAAGATATTTAAAATTTTTGATCTATTTACACTAAAATACTCGAGTAAGATAAATACTCGATCATGACCGTATGAGTAGATCGAAAATGTTTAACTTTTAAAAGTTTTAAAAATCTTTTCACCATATTGAATGAAGTTCAGAGAGCGTTATAGTCTCATTACTAAGGTGTTTTTCTATAGAGGTTACTCTTCAAACTTTACCTAAATAAAATTCATATTAACAGCATGATTTTCCCATACTTATAGTCTTCACGGAATGCCGTTGAAGTATTTTTGTCCCCCCATATTTCTAGATGAAGCGCAAAGACTTTCTGAATTATTTTACAGAAAAAAAAATATTATCATAATAGAAGACCTCTTCTCAGAATTCAACTTGCCAGGGAACATAGAAGATCAGATATTTTTCTCTTCTGAGGGGAGAGTTAAGTTAGAATATTTTTGAATAATTTTATCTAAATGAGACGTCGATTTCTCACAGTGGACAAACAGGCGGACATTTGGAGAAAAATTGAAAGTAAGCTTTTTCGAAATTCAAATAGCCTCATAATAAGTCTGGGCTATTTAATGGCGAAAATTTTTTTGTTCCGGCTTGCGAGTTTTCAGGAAAAACCTGAACTGAAAAAAGACCCGCGAAAAAGCGTCTCTCACCGGCAATTTTTTTTGTATTTTGGACTATATGGTAAGTTATGAGGTATAGATATTCGGAATCTGCACTGTTTCACCTACATTTCTGAAAAAAAATATTGTCTCAGAGTTAAGCGCTAAGGAGAAAATTAGTGTTTTTCTAAACGAAAGTGTTTCCAGTTGACGTCTCCAGTGCAGTAAAAATCCTGAATTTTTCTAAAGTCTAATTCGACTTCGAATTACATCAAAATGTTCGTCCACATATCCTGCATCCATTATGTATGCGCGAAAATGTGCAAATTCTCCGAGACCAATATACAGGTTGTCCAAAAACCCTTGGTTTTTAGGTATTTTCCATTTTCCTCAGCCGAGAAACACTTTTATTGAAAACTAATGTGATATTCGGAATCAGCATGCAAATTTGCATCGAATGATGTTTAATTTGTTAATTTTACAAATAAAATATTTTTTCACAAAAAATTCAGGGCAAGGCTAAGAAATTTTTTATCGGAAAAAACTTTTTTTTTTTTGAATTCGACTTTTTTTTAGTTTTATTAATATCCGACGCATAATAAGACCATATTATGCGAAAATAATCGTTTTTTAACTCAAAGAAACGAGATGTCCGCCTGATCTATGGACAAATGTCCCCTATGTTTCTATTCCCTAGTCGAAAGCGCCAGTCTCATTTATTTTAAAATTTTTGTTTCTTTATTTCATGCGCTATAACCAACCACGCATACTATTATATTTTACAAACGAATTTATCATTTTTTTGTTTAGCATTTATCTTGTATATAATGGGTGGTCTTGGAATAACTGCTGGTTCACATCGACTTTGGGCTCATCGTTCGTATAAAGCACGTAAGTTATTCTTTTATTAACCGATTATTTTTCATCAAAAACTGTCGGCATATTTTTCATTTGATCATCTGAACGCATTATTAATTTATTGTAATTGTCGTATATTTTAGGATTTCCATTACGAATTTTATTGGCAATATTTCAAACAATGGCATTTCAGGTATATCTGATAACTATTAAACAATTGTATGAAATTTATTAACATGTTGATTTTTGGTTGTTTTAGAATTGCGTTTATGAATGGTCACGTGATCATCGTGTACATCATAAATATAGTGAGACGCATGCTGATCCTCACAATGCAAATCGTGGATTTTTTTTTGCTCATGTTGGATGGTTATTATGTCGAAAACATCCGGATGTTATCCGAAAAGGAAAAGATTTAAAAATGGATGATCTTCGTGCAGATCCTGTTGTTCGATTTCAAGAAAAATTTTATCTACCATTAGTTGGATTAATATGTTTTATACTTCCAACAATTTTACCCTATTTTCTCTGGTCTGAATCCTTATGGAATTCATATTTTATATGTGGTCTATTCCGTTATGTATTTACATTGCATTGTACATGGTTAGTCTTATCATTTATTTCTTTATCATTGACATATTTCAAAGAATATAAATATTCTATTTTCTAGGCTAGTAAATAGTGTTGCTCATAGTTGGGGAATGAAACCGTATGATCGTCGTATCAATCCTAGTGAAAATTTATTCGTATCGATTGGTGCAATTGGTGAAGGTTTTCATAATTACCATCATACATTTCCTTTTGATTATTCAACAAGTGAATATGGTATATTGATTTTTAACATGTATAATAATTCAATCTCATATTTTTTCTTATTTTTTTTTTACTTTTTTCTAGGCTTTAAATATTTTAATTTAACAACGGGTTTTATTAACGTTATGGCTAAAATTGGATGGGCATATGATCTGAAAAAAGTCTCACCAGAAATGATAAAACAACGACGTTTACGTACTGGAGATCTGAAAATGGAACATCAATGGTGAATGATATTCTAGTCGTTGTATACATTTTTTTTATGACTTGCATTTAACGAGATGTTAAAGAGGCATACTTGGGTTTTTCTGTTTTTGTTTTTTCAACCGGTGAAAACAACGTAGTCGAATTTTTTTTATTTGTTCAATGCGTTGTTTTTTTCATTTTCTCATGTGTCCACTATACAGAGATGTTTAGTGTTTATGAAACCTAAATGATCTTTAAGACATACGATAGTATATTTTTAAAATAAATAAAACATTTGGTGAATAAACTGATTACGTTTATTTTCTATATCTATCTATCTATACATGTTTAGATAGAAAAAATCGGACGCGTTTGTAATACAAATTACAGTGAAGAGAGAGTTGTCAATTGTAATTTATATCATTTTTCTTGAGTCAAACTGATTTCGACTATCAAATATCACAAATAAAAGGTATCGATGTATCTTGACTATTCATTAAGATGCACCCAGGGCAGCCTTGCAGTGAAATTTATTTTTCGACACTTCATA